TCGGCAATCCTCAAGAGCCCTCATTTCCTGTCCCCCTACTCTTTCCACAAAAAAAAAAAAAAGTAGAACTGCACATTTTGTACATATAGGAAAGAGCTATCCTTCACCTCACTCTACCTCAGTGAGATACTGAAAAGGGGATTTTTTTGCCCACATAATGGGATGCTCAGTAAAGCATTACCGACAAGGTGAAACATTTTAGTTACAATGCAGCATTTATAAGTCACTGCCCAGTGTTAATGCTAGGTCAGCTTCAATACATACATCGAATTCAAGTAGTGCATCAATTTGTTCCTGCAATATTGGCATACTCTTCAGTAGCTTTTCAGGAGCCATTGTTCTCATTACACCATCAGCTCTGCAAGAGGGAATACAGATTAGAAGCCATGCTGGTTTTCCTCTCCCTCTCACCAAACTGGTTTGTTGTCTAAATTTAAGCTTAAAGCTGCTATAACCCATTTCAAACATTTGGAGCACTGTCTGATTCTCCTGCTTCCCACAACCTCACAAGAGGTGGCATGGAAAATATTTCATCCAGCCACCCTCCCTGACAGCAGGCGAAGAAGGGTTTTGTGTTAGAGTGACGAATGCAAGAGAATGATCTCTTTATGGAAAGAAGACACTGAGACTTTAAAGAACTTGAAAGAAATACAGTCACAGAAGTACTTAGAGAACTGATAGTCTTTGTGCATTAAGCTTGTTAAGAATAACTAATGACAACTCATTGCTAAGAGTGCTTTTTAATGATGTGTCTGTGGTCACTGAAGACAAAAATAATTCTGTAGGTTGGGTTTTTCCCCATCAAGTGCCACAATATATGCATGCCAATTCAGTGACAATTAAATTCAGAGCAATCTTTGCTTAGAGCTTCTTTCCTCAGTATTCCTGGGTACTAATTAATTCCATTACTCCTTCATAGCATGTCCACTGACTTTGACCTGCCTTATCAGTCCTGAACCATTACTCCAACAGCAGCACGCAGCAGTCATGGATGTGTAGCATTCCTTAATTGCCACCCATAGTCTTATAGAAGTCTTCATGCATGCCCATTTTAATCTCTGAATATCAAACCTGCACAACCACCATTATGTATTGCCCCATTCTGGCCACTGACAGGTATAGTATCTCCTCTCGGGGAATGCATACCACCATTTTTACTTATTTTATACTCTACTCTGAGGCAGCACCTTGTTTTGAGCACCAGAAATAACACACATAGAAAGCCTTTCCAGAAACATATAGCAAGGCAAGAATAGAAGGACTCCCAGCAACTCAAACTTATGTTTATTTAACATGAATTGTTTGAAGGCACTAGGTGACAAAGGGAACTTAAGATGCTAGCACTACAGCAGGCTGCTGAATCAAAGCCTGCCTGAAACATCAATCCAACTAGCTACTAGTCTTCATGTCAAAAACTTCTTAATGATTCCTATTCCAGATAGGTTCAAGAGATAACTACTTTGGTCCTCACTGTGGGAATGGCATCCAGCTGTATGACAGTTTGAGAAGCAGGAGAGGAAAGCCTGGCAGCAATGCTTGCATTAACAGCTCGGAATCCCAAGCTGCAGAATATACCGAACTGCCAGAACAATCCTGTATGCAACTCATGATTAGCAGGAGCATCTTCAGCATGCAGTCAATTAAGCTGCACCTTCAGTAGGTGTTAAGTCACTTGCTGTGCTGTCCGTGCTTCAAGAGAGAATCTAGAGCCATTAAAGTCCCAGTTAGAGGAGTCAGAGACCAAAAAAATGTTCTGACAAATACCAACATACTACTCTGGCCTGGGTTAACTTTTTTTTTTAAAAAAAACCACAATCCTTGTGGGAAATAAAACCAGTACTTTACAACCTTACTCTGTTCAGTTTATAACTGTTTGCTGTGTTGCCTGCTAAGGACTTCAGGTGTTCACTTCAGTTTTCCTTTGTAATCAGTCATCTTTCTTAAGGAAAGAGTCTGGAGAATAATGAAACATCCTAAATCTTCAAATCCTCAACACAGTCTCGCTGCAGCACAATTTAATAAGAGTCAGATTTAAGGCCTAGTGCTAAAAGCTCCCAGTTCTGCAAGGCACCTTACTTTAGTCTTCAGTATTTGCTTTACTACCCACAGTCTTTCCTCTCCTCCTTGTGCAATTTTAATCCATTACAAATACTTAAGAAATCCAACCATTTTGGTATTTCATTGTGGCCAAACAAAGAACTAAGTCATTGAGACACTAAAATTAAGCGTAATGCCACAAATAAAATTTTCATGGGTCAGGCAATCCTAACAGTTTATAGATCTAAACTTTGCTTACCCTTTCTTCACTCGTGCAAAGTCAAATGCCATTTGCCTGTAGGAAAACGCTTTTTCATTCAAGTATCTACTATAACGCCTTATAAAGGTGGACATGTCATAACCTGCAAAAAACAGTTACATGTTTTACATTTAATTTTCATGCTTGCTTGGAGGTTCTTTAGTTAAACGATAACATACAATCGATGGGCCCTAAGGTTATGTGATCTCTGTTGCACTAGACAACCACACATACGGAACAGGCATCACAGGACATCTTCCAGCTTCTGAAGAAAAAGGAGTAGTGCTGCACCAAAACAATCTACCACCGTCCTCTGCTTCCAACAGATTCATCCAATGCACCAGTGGCATGGTTCCTGGGGAAACCTGTTAGTGACTCCTACACAGTTATGTGGTAACGTTATTTGATGGCAAAATTAGTTATCCCTCTATTAACAGGGAAAGATGCCAATTTAAAGAAAAGTTTATACTTAACTAGCACATGACTTCCAGGATAAAGGCCAATTTCAACTTAAACACTCCTGCTACTTTACCTACGTCAGTCCCTCCAACTCTTACATTGACCTTCAAAATTCCCCTGACTAGGTTTACCAGAACAAAGAAATTATGATGGCATTCACAGAAATTATTGCCTTCTTTGAACTGTTACACCAGAGATCTTCAAGGCATATGATGCTGTACAAGCAGCCTCAAACTTCAGTGACCTTCAAGCCTGTAAGACTTCTGAACAGTTAGTATTACAGTCTATCCTTCAGGTATTTCTTTTAAAGTTTCTTCCTCTAAGCTACAGAAATGTGTGCAGAAGGCAACTCATCCTCCTCTTCAGTACAAGTCCCTTTTTGCTACCTTTGTTAAAATCCACACCCCTTGACTTAGTCATTGACTGTATTTTTCCTTAACATCTCTCAACATCAAGCATCTCTGTCAATTCAGGCTTAACACTACCAACTCTGATGCCTCATTATCTATGACACACTGTTGTATTATCTATGAAATGGCAATTTAAGCTTAAAGAAAGTGGCAAAGAACATATTTAACAGAATTCATTGTTGCCAAATACCAGTATCTTTGAACATGCATAGCATGTTTTGCTTAGACAAACACAGTTTTAGTATTTGTTTGGCTTTATTCCTGCCCTGTGTTACCATTTCTAAAAGATGCTCAAGTCTTTTTGCTGTCACCTGTCTCCACTGAGATATGGAGTAACATGTCATTGCTTCAATCTTGCCCATTATTGTAGCATTCCTGCATTCTGCATACAGTCTACAAATATTCTCTGACAGCTGCTGAATTATAAGTTTCCTCTCTTCTCTAGTAGAGCTGCCATGAAACAAGCTTTTTCTCTGTTAAGTGAAGCAATACGAAAATTCACTAATAATTCCAGAGTCAAAGTAGAAAAGCAGACATTGTAAGCTTTACAGAGAACAACTCCTTAATTTTTGCCTAGACCTTCTAAATTCACTACTCAAACCAAAACCAGCTAGTTCTTTTGGTGCCTTCCCACTACCTCCCCAAATTAAACATTTGTATAGATAATTCCTAGAAAGTGCAGTGTCCCCAAGCTACCAAATTACCATTTAAGACTGAGTAAAACCCAAAACACTAAATGGAAAGTTATCCATTCTATCCTTAACTCCCATAACAGTTAAGGAGATAGCTGACCCAGCCCTGATGTCAACCAGCACTCTCTAAGGGAGTTGTACAGTTTCACCTCTTGAGTACAAATTTTGCAGGAACTGAGAAACATTGTTCTGAAGTTGTCCAGCATTGACTTGAGCTCCTGTATTCATTAAGTACTTATAAAAAGGCTTCAGCAGCACACTTTTGTATTATTTGCATCTTATGAATGAAGGAGCAAATTAACAATAGTATCTTATTTGGAATCTTGTTAAGATTATAGACATGAGGAGGCTTACCATGAGATCCACTTTTGTCCAGAAAATTGCTGAGATTGAACAATGTGTTTCTAGATGCCAGGTACTGAATAAATCTCTGCAACACAAAGTTATTTTCTTATCACGGGTTGTATCTGAAGGCTTTGTACCTCCTAGCAAGAAGATTACCAGTCTAGCTCCAGCATACACACATGAAAACCCAGATTTTTGTCTTAGCCTGCAATACCTTCCTCAAAATTTTCATCCATTCAGATTAATTATGTTTAGCCTGGATCTCTACTAAATATCCTACTGTATACATAAAAATAGATTCTGTGCAAATACAAACCAGATTGTAGAAGAAGCAGTAAAAACAGTTAATTCCACAAAGAGATTTGAGTAAGCACAAGATTTATCTACTTGCAAAGCAGCATATCCAGGCTAGTCCCAGACTTTTCAATCCAGCAGCCCTCAGTTTCAGCCAAGCCAAGAGACTGTTCTAATAACAAGCAGGCCTCACATCAAGTACAGGGACTAACAGACTGAAAGAGTTACAGAAAGCAAATCAGAATACTGGCCAAAACTTGGAATGGAAAAATAGGACAGCAGTAAAAATTTACTCTGTGACATTGAAGAAGTTCCTTGTATGAAAACACGTTATATACAGCCAGGGAGGAATTGTTTCACAGTCATACTAAAGCTCTTTAAGTAAGCTTTTTGTTTTTACACAGACATACCAGTCTATAGAGGCCAAAAAAAAAAAAAAACCCAAGGGGAAGGAAAAAGCAATCCAAAAGGCTACCAAGTTGAATTTACAGCTCTAGGAAGATTTTAACACTCAGAGAGGGCAGCTATTTGGATGGCAGTACACGTGTGCCAGAACATCAGCTCTGACTCTATTCAAAAAGTTCCAGGTAGTCTTCAATCCTGCATAGCTCTGTTTTCAGATAGCACATAAACTGTCAACAGGAACAGGCTGCTGCTTGCTCATATGCTACAGTTTTGTAAATGGAGAGACAGATAATCGGCATGCCTCCAACTACATTGTAAAAGGTAAGTTTGCTCCTCATGAAGAATCATTCTTGCCCTTTGTTCTCAGGTCCTTACTGGTTCAGAAGAGATGCCTTTGCACTACTAATTTTTTTGGCTTGGAGTCTGCTCAGTGCCAATGTGGTCTCAAGAAAAAGCTGATTACACTTACCTCATTGCCATGAACCATTAGATGATGTGTGGTAACTAAGGCTTTGAATACAACCACCCAGCTACTATTTGTTGCTCGCTCAAAAAGTGTATCAGCCATCTGAGGAATATTCACGTTTGTTTCATTAGTTGCTTGGATCAAGTCTGTAAGAAAGAGAAAAGGAAGGTGTTAGGTGCTACAAATAAGATGAAAAAGTTTGCAGCATGGCCAAGCTCTCAGCCCACCAGGCTGCGGGCCATGGTTGTGACAAACAGCAAGCTCAGTGCTTATTCTCTACATTTTAAAACAAAACAAAACCAAACTACTGATATTATATTAGCACATACTGACAGCAACGATACTCTGACTCTTCAGTCCAACAATTCTGTCCTGAGCTATGTCCCAACCTTTCTCCATCTTCATCCCAGATGAAGTTAGGGTGCACAACATCACATGACTTTACTGCTTGCGGGTTTTCAAGTTAATTGTGGCAGTTCACTACCTCTGGGTTAGATGAGTAAGTATTACTGAATTCTTCACTTACAGGTAATACATCAAGCACACTGAACCCAGTCACATCATCAAAAAGAGGTATCACCAGAAACAGATACTCTAGCCATCTCAGAGGTTAGAGTTTCATCAGCATGCTACAGCACACCTCCTATAGTCTCTACAGACCTAGACAGCAGAAGAGCACATTCAGGCATGCGTTAAGACCTCTTCAACAGTAGAAAAGAAGGCAAGGATGACATTAGTTTATAACAAAGAACAATAGTCTTTTGCAAGCAACTGCACCTTACATAGAAGAAATAAGACATTAGGCTGTCTTAGGGAACTAGAATAAAATACAGCTTTGTGTCCTGTACATTAGGGAGGTGTAGACTTGCACAGGAGAGTACATGAAATTAAGATAAGTACTTAAAATCATAAACAGTAGGGCTGCAAGCTTTCCTCTAGCACCTCTATCGCACATCTACTGATAAGATCTTTGATTTACTACATCACCTATTACCTACAGGCTCTTGCTAGGCAGCCAGCAATGGCCTTCTACAAGTTATTACCTAGTTTTTGAGACACAGTTGGAAACTGCATACTGCATCTGCATGACCAAAACCCATGTGACACCAGACACAGCCCTGGCAAGACTTCAGGAGAAGACTTCATGCAACACAAAGAACAGAGAATACAGACCTAATTGTAGGGTTGAGGCTTAAAGTTTGAAGACCTAAGTAGAAAAAGTTAAAAATCAAAAAGTTTAACTACTAGACTAAGCATTATCTGTGTTCCTAATGAAAATATTCATCTTTTACTTTCCCTGAGAGGAAAGTAACCATTGTTAATGATTGTCCACATATTTCTCCCCTCCCCCCAGACTAGAAATGTTCATCCAACTATTCAAGCTATTCAGTGATGACAGATATTCTACCCTAGAAGCAGACAGGCTATTCTTTGACTGATCCTTGCACACCTAAACTATGTGAGTCTGCTGTAAACACTCTACAGGAGTTCAATTCACCTGGGCAGCAGGGTCACCACTTTACAGACTTGCTTTCCCTCCCCAGCACAACCCCATATAATGGAGGGCATTAATGCTGCTAAGAGCAGAAAGCCAAGGTTCAGACCACTGTGAAACCACTGATTCTGCCTCTGCAGGGAAGGAAAAGTCCAGAGGGCAGGTTTGTCTAAACAGACCGATGAGTTGCATCAGCTATTGAGAACCACCTGGTGTGTCCAGAAACCCACACTGCTGTACCAGAAGCATTCAGAAGTTTAGTAACTTTTTTTTTTAAATTCATGGCAAGTGGTTTTTTATGAGGGTTTTTACTTCTATTATACAGACTCATTTAAGATACAAGAAATCTATAGCTCAAAGTCAGAAGCCTGTGAAAACTGCAGTGCTTGTGTTTAAAATTGTCTTTTGCTTGGGCATAAAAGCGGCAAGTTGTCTTCAGTTTCAGGTCAGTGGAATGATTTCCTGTAATGACACAGAAGACAAAAACTCACCAAGTTTGATTTTAAAATGTTTGTTGTCATGGTGTTTTTTGTTTTGGTTGTGGGTGTGGTGGTTTTTTTTTTTTCAGAACACCTTCTGAAATGTAAAGTTAACTCCTATAGCTTCAGTAAGCCTATAGGCTCAGTAACCCTTGAAGAAGGCAGTTCTGCAGACAAAGTATTACTGTAGTAAAGCCATGCTATTGAATGACAGCAGTCCAAGCTCACAGAGCTCCAACAATTCTCTTTGATCTTGTACAAACAGGCCAACAATAATTTATTCTGTACTGCTGATTAACACATTACAGAAGACAGTGGTTTGTACAAGCCTACAAGCATGTCACAAGTGGCTTGCTCACCGTTTACCCCGTTCAGAGGTTTTACTGCAGATGACAGCATTTGTCCTTAGTATAAGGAAACATGCATCAAATTTGCAAGCTTTCAGTCCTGAGTTGCAGTACGTAGCTCACTATGGAAAAGGGGTGCTATAAATTGTGTATTCCATCGGTGGATGTTAGACAGTGAAACCTCAGGAGTCCACCCACAGCAATGCTAGCAACGGAGGCTACCAGGCACTACTCCTATACACTACTGCAGCACTCCTTCTCAAGTCACTCAGTCATTTCTGCCTCCTCGCCAAACTGCTGGAGGGTACAGCATCTCAGTCTGCAGCTCTGAATGTTTTAGGACACGAGTAATTATAGTGTGCTTAGTAGAGAGGTATGATTAAATTTAAGCCTACTACTTTCAGTGCACAGAAAAGAATTAAACCACGCATGAAGATTTTACTCATCATCTGAGAGGGGAAAAAAAAAAAAAAAAGATGGGGGTTAATTCTTGCAGAGCTGTTTCCCATTACGTGACACCACAAAGTTAAGGAATTCAAGCTTCCTGGATTTCTTGCCTCAGTACCATAGAGTCTCAGCTTAACCAGCAATCGTCAGCGTCTGGAGCAACTCAGAAGCATAGCTAACGAACTCTGAGCAGCAAAGTTTGGCGGCTAAGCTGAGTTTTAAAATAAGACTTGGCAAAATTCATTTGCTTTCAGTGTGGTAGGGAAGAATAGGTACAAGAAAAAAGAAAATCTAGAAACTACATTTTCAAAAGATTCAGGCATTTACTGGTGGGACAGAAACTTAGTTTTCAAAAGAGACAATGAAGTTTAGAGTCTTCCAAGCAAGTCACAGGTGGACTTGTTAATATAAACCAGATCATATTAAGAAGTACCAGCTGAAGCACAGCCCATGAGAAGCCATATGAAGCAACCTTACAAAGGTGATTTGGGTGGGGGGGGCGGGGTGCAGAAGTAGTACAAACAAGGATTACAAGATACCTTTCTGATGAAGCTTCTAATACCATAGGCATCCATGTCAAGTACACCGACAGCTAATCCCCAAACCCAAAACCTGAGCTCAAATACAAATTCCAAGCAGAGTAAAAAACCAGGAATGGTACAGCAATAGCAGCCAGCGCTTTCATCACGACTTTCATGCAAGTGGTGAAGTTACAGAATGAAGACCTATACCCTTCATTTGAATCTGGTTTCCTGTGGCACTAAATTATAATCGCCAAATCACAGTACCTGATTTCTCCTATTTCCTCCCTTCACATCTTGCTAGCTGCCATTTTGAACACTCCTTCAAGTCTAGAGATCCTTGTTTAAATGGTACGTGTAATTTGGACTTGAATATACTTTTTCTAGTTAAGTTTTCAGATGCAAAACCTATGCACATAGGAGGAATAAATGATTGTCAATTCTTTGACACCATAACTTAAATCTAAACACCAGCCTTTAAACTCTTTGACTAGCCAATTCTTTGACTCAGGCTTAAGACATTTGCAACTTATTCAGGGAAGAGACGCAAGGCTAGAGTATGATTAACACCTTCATTAATAAAAAGACAAACCTGCCAAACCGAGGAAGATCGGTAGAGGGTTCAGTGAGGAAGACCAAAGTTAAGACACCTTAGCTCTTCGTGACCTTTTAAAGAGATCATTAAAAGATGTAACTAATTTTGGTGTGTGTTTGTTTGTTAAGCTCATAAGGTAAAAAAAGAGAACAGCAAGAAAGTTTCACTGTCTTCAGAATTTCAGACTTCTTCAGGCTCATTAAAATCTACTTCCTGATTTTGAGATTTTTAAAATTTTTATTTTAATGAGAGAGATTCTACAACACTTAAAAGAATCTATCTTAATCCCTTACCTTTTCAGATTGTATTCTGGATTGGGGCAGAGTTTTTTTTCTAGCTTGGTTTTGTTGGGTTTTTTTTTCCTCAATTGTTTAATAGACAGACTTGGGAATCCTCAGTTTAAAGTTAATTATTCACAATTTACATTTCAGTATTTACATTTACACAATTACATTTCAGAGAAACAGCAGCAGAGCACAAGACCTCTCTGTTCAGAGGGATATTGGTGCCAACTTAAGAGCAGCTGTCATTCCAGGTTGAATTAACAGGCAAGCTGCCTCAGCATCTGAGCTGTGTCATACATTCAGTTCCTAAACTTTGCCAAATCTCTCTGAGAGTAACCCCCTTACAGACCTTCCTTACTATTACGCTGAACACTACAATAGTCTTCACAAGTTATTTTTCTGGCTTGTAAGTATTTAAATAATGCCTTGAACCTACAGAAAAGGAAATGCAGGATTGTTCCAAATCCAGGCTAGTCAAGAACAGAAAGAAGTGGCTTAAAGTAGGAGTTTAAAAGCCTCAACCAAAAAAGTTAAATAGGCAAGTAACAGCAGAAGTAGTCCCTTCCAAGACACAGAACTGTATCAGGAAGCTACTACACCACTGTGCTAACCAACGCAAGAGCTGAACCTCCAGGTCTACAGAAGACTGACCACAAAACAGTACTGGAAAGCAGAACAAAGTTATAGGTTTCTGCTTCTACAATTGCTCACGAGAACATTAGATGATTTTAATGTTGTCAGCTTTGACTATCAAGCACTTCCATAAATGAGAGTAGGGAGTTTATCTGTGGGGTTAAAGTTTACCATCTACTCTTTTCACCCCCAGCTTGCCCCATCTCTTGGAGTTTCCTCCAATTTCTCAACCTGAGAGTTTAATTAGCCTTACAATCAATCATCTTACCACACTACTCCTTTTTAAATACAACAGCACACCACTTCCTATATCACCAAATACCTGTTTTGAAAACAAAGCTGAAA